ACCGACTGTGGATTCTAAGCACTTAATAAATATTATGAACAATTTGGTTTGATATTGGCGTTAACCATATTCGAAGTATTCCCGAATGTTTATATATTAACCAGATTCATGTTCACAGTTCCAGTCAGTATAGCTTCGATGGAAAGAAGCTTTTAAAAATTAAAATTGATTAAGACGTACGAGAAAAGTATGATGATCCAAGAGAGACTATCTCCATTGGAAATTCTATAAACTGAAGCAAAAATATCAGTTGGCGCAAATTATGATATAATTTAAAAAAAAATTGAGTGAGGCTAAGAGGAGGAAAATATATTTATTTTAATTTGATTAGCAATAAAACTTTCAACAATGTAACTTGAAAGTTTACAACTGGGTTATAAAGGGGGCCTCGCAATTCTGATGTCGCCGACATTTATTTAAATGACATATAAACAGCAGAGTGATAACTGCTCTTGATTTTATATATACTCTTTGACTGCATCCTGGTTTTCCAGTCTGCAATAAAACTTGCAATTATACCTTACGATGTTAGCTGTTCATGGGGGGGCTTTAATTCCAGTTTGAAATTTTAGTGTTTTTAATTATATTTTATATAATAAAATTAAATTTACCTTGCTTAATTTATTATTATTAAAATACTTTTCATTTCAGATATCGGACAATTTATATTTGCCTAATTTAAACTGCGGAGATTTGCTAGCATTTCCTAATATGGGCGCATATACAGTTCCAATAGCAAGTCCATTTAATGGATTTATGACACCAAAAACTCTTTATTTTATGAAAAAGAAGCCAACTTGACAAATAATTGTTAATAAAATGAAAATAAGAATTAAAATAAATATAAATATACTAAACATATTGCCGAACTTTTCTATTATGATTTTGATACTAATAAGGCTTTTCAGTAGTAAATGTTTTTCTTAAGAATACTATAATCTGTTCAAATCCTTTAAATATATTGATATTTTCAGCGTATCTCTCTCCATAACCAATTTTCAAGAATAAAAATGAAATGAAAAATTTAGAAATTCATCCGATGGTTAATATTAATTATTTAAACAGCAGCTAATCTACCGATATATATTGATCGCTTATAAAAAATAATGCTATTCTTATAAATTATAAGTTAATTTATTAGAGAAATCTATTCTCGAAGGAGAAATTCAGAAACACATCTCTCAAGACCAAAAAATAAACATAAAAAAGGTTTTAAAATTATTGATGGTGTGATTCTTAAGTCAATAACAGTTGCAAGACGGAATTTTTCCCAGAACCGTCTGTAAAAGTAATAGCAAAGAAAAAATAATTTCAGAGAGACTTAGGATATACTTAGTAATGCATGGTGGCACAAATTTATACATAAAAGCCACAAAGTGATCGAAACAGTCGTTTTCGGTGAGGGGCTATCATGAGCTTACATTTTTTTTAATATTATTTAAGTTGTTGTAAATGTATAACATATGTCACACCACTTCATTACCTTCCGGATTGACATATATATTGGAGTATAAGATTTGTGAAAAGAAAGTATTATCCTTCAAATAATATTCTGATAATAGGTAAGCTGTTCACAGTGATTTTGGTGAGAGCAATTTTATAATTTTTAAAATAATGGAAAAAAAATTCATATGATCATTAAATATCGTTTTTCGATGAGGAAAAATACTGTTGAGGAGAAACTGCTAGATAACCGACTATGAAATGGGTGCTGCTTTGTAACACGGTCGCTCAAATGTCGACCGACCCTTCGTTCATGCAAATTAACACCTCTCGCTCACTTGTTATTGGGCAATCTTAAGTCATTGGTGTATGCCGCCACACCAGCAACTCTTGAAGCATTGGAAGCCAATGCTAATGCCACCACTGATGCCGTACGGCAACATTTGCAAAAAATAGTTAAAAATTGGACTGATCGAATGGACCATGTAACTCGTAGCCACGGCGGACATATGCCAGAAAACATATTCAAAAAATAATTTTTTTTTGTTTTATTATTTTATTCAATTACGCCTAGTTAAAAATAAAAACTAATTAGCAATATTTTAACATCGGGGACTTAAAATAGTCGATATTAATCCTTATCTGTAATATTATAGTATAATGATTAATATGTAATTTAATTAATTAAGTCAGACGATTTGGTTCTCTTAAGCCGTCGTACGATATCTTATGTTTGAAAGAGTGATGAAACATCTGTGTTGCAGTGAACTTCATCTTTTTTTATGTTCCGGAACCTGAAGCCTGATTATTGCGGCGACTGTCGAAATGTCAAAGTTATAATGAAGGTCGCTGTTATGGACAATACCATGGAGCATTGGTAATTGTTCTTAGGATGTTGTTTTGATATGGTTGGACTATTCGCCTATTTGACTAAGACGTGCAACCCCTGAGTTGAGTTCCGTAGGCCTAAAGTGGACATAATACCTGCTTGGATACTATTAGCTAATGTTCGATTGACATAACAGAATTTGGTTCAAGTATGGTTACTTAATTGAGTTGAACTTAAGATTTAGTTTTTGACGTTTTTTTTTTACATGATGACACCACCGAAAACTTGCATCAAGTGTTATGCCCAAGTATTAAAAAATAAATAAATAAATTCTATGAAATCATCTACCAGATTATAATAATCTTATTCTGACAATATTTTTGTCTTGTATTATTTTATTTAAGTTCTGTAACGAACCTTTTCCGCCGAAGTTTCGTTCGCCGGATCCCAGGTCAAGCCCTACAATAAATTTATTTGATAGGAACAGTGGAAAGTTAGATATGTAGATTTCTATGCACCTATAAATAAGATTTGATACAAAATGTGAATTTCGTATTCACGACGGAGACTTAATAAATTGGTGATGGTGATTGGAGATGTAAATTTTTATCCACCTCTAAAGTTTACCAAAAATATAGATGTAAATTACTACTTGTGTCACAGTTAGCACTTAGTAAATCGGTATTGATACCAGCTCAGTGCTTTGCTGATTGCGTCCAGAGAATAAGTGTTAAAGAAATGTAGGATCTTAGCTATATAATTGATTTTGTATTAAAAATGTGGATTTTTAACGCATTTAAAAATCGCTCTATTGTAGAAATGTAAATTTCTTCCTTAGATTAGGGAGGACTAGTAGTACGATATCGTCGCAAGCCCGATATGACAATTATTTACAAATAAATCTGAAAAGAAAACACTGAAAACAGACTAAAGTTGTTCTTTATTTTAAAATATTTTCAAAAATTCAAAAAGAAAAAAAAGATTTTACAAAACAGATTTCAATATAAATTTTTCACATAAAAATTAATGTATCGAAAACAATATTTATCGATAACAATATTTTGTAAAATAACAACTGTCAAATATTGACTCTGACCCTTTCAATATTGCAGTCAACAGTTTCGGTTATTTTGGAAATATTATTTTTTTATTAATTCAACATTCATATAAAAAATATCAATTAATTTTTAATACTTATCTGAGTAATAATTATTGTTTTTAGTTTTTATAGTTTTCATAGCTTTTTTTTTGAGAATAAAAATCATGTATATAAATTGCTTTACTAAGTAGTGTAAATAATTGAAATGATTTTCGACAGTTCGGCAGACTGCCACTAAAACAATTGAAACTGACCCTAAAATAAGTTTTAGTCACACATAAAATTTTAAATTTCCATAAATTTGAAACATTTTTTTTTTGTGTTTGTTTCATTTAAATAAATTAATATAAAAATCTATAAGCATAAGACTTTTTCCGTATTTAATTGTATAAATTTGTGGTTTCGGCCTTTTTATGGCACAAATGATATGTTTCGTTACTTTTTGATATGTTTTATTTTAATTTTTTTTTATTTTAATCAACATTTTAATGATTTTTTTTTTTAACTTTTGAAAGCAGCTTAACATTTATAATTAAAACTTAATTCAACATTGTTTTTGTTTTTTATATATATAGCAAAAATTCACGTTATAATTTATATATATATATTTATTTCTTTATTTTTGAATTAATATTTTTCCATAGTAATTATTTTTATATTATTATTTTTTTTTATTGATTTCAAAAACATAGAAACAATTCTAGAAACAATTCTATGTTTCAAAAACATAGAAAATAGTTCTATGTTCCAAAAACACAGAAACTATTTCTATGCTTCAAAAACATAGAAAATAGTTCTATGTTCCAAAAACACAGAATCTATTTCTATGCTTCAAAAACATAGAAAATATTTCTATGTTTCAAATCATAGAAACTATTTCTATGTTCCAAAAACATAGAAAATATTTCTATGTTTCAAAAACATAGAAATTATTTCAATGTTTCAAAACCGTTCTATGTTTATGATTAATTTATTCTTTTCTCAATAAGAATTCAACTTCATTTCAATTCCGTTTCAAATTTTACTTGCAGAACGTTTATCTGTGCAAATAATGAGTACAAACTACTTTAATCAGTTCTGGAAATAACATATTTGTTCACAGTAATAAGAAATCATTGTATATATAATTTATTATTATAATTATTAGATGTTTTTGCATTTTTGAACTTGTATAGATAGCATTGCAAAAGTAATTTAACTATATATTACTTTCAATATATATATTTAATAAATATTTAGAGTAGACATCTATAAAGAAATATATAATTTTTGCAGTTTTTGCATAAACCAAAATGATTGTATTTCACACAACAACGATATTTTAAAAAGCCTTATATTATATATATTAAATTGAAAAAAAATTTTGTTCTCAGAAACAATGAAAAGAGGCTATCAAAAATGACAACAGACACAGATTATCTTAAACTACACACACATTTTTCAATAATTTTTCAAAAATATCTTGAATACAATATATGAAAACTCAATATATATGAGTATATATAATAATAAAGTGTATATGATGATAGTATTATAATGGAGTTATTAACTCTCAAATAGAAGCAATAGAAGCAGTACACGTATCTATGATAATATGATATGTTTAGTTGTCGTAACTCTTATAAATAGATTATATGCATTAGCAAATCTTCTTCTATATTTCTAATGCCACATTCCCATCAGGCTAATCATAAAGTTAGCCAATATATTTACTTGTACGATACGCCATAGGACACCACTAGACCTTGAAGGTCCAACATTTTGTCCAGCACAGTGCATTTTTTCCAATGGCATTGCTTGCACATAATATTCCCGATTCTCCATTGGCATATGACAGAGTGGTTTCTTCTTTTGCGCCATTTCATCATCTTTGTTCTTTAAATCCTGCAATAACTTTGGAAACCAAGTTAACTCACATGAACATGTGAGTGGATTATCTGTGAGGCAATTATAAGAACAATGTATAAAATAATTATATTATAAGCCATCTTTTACCACATTTTTTTTCAGTATTGGACATGCATAATACAAGCTGAAAGCCAAAAACAAAAAAGTATATAAAAACAAGAATTTAAAGAAAAATAGTAAAGGTTTCTGTGACGATTGCATTTTAAAATATATATTTTAAACCAGTAATTAAAAACATGATCCTAAAGATCTATTGTGCCCCTTCTTCGGATTAGTGTTTCTTCAAGTCAGTTTTCTTTAATGAAAGACAGTACCTTCTGCTCAAAAAGTATTTTGTTGTTTGTTAACTACTCCTTAAGTAATAGACCCTTTTCAAAAAATGGTACAAATTTGAGCGCCATCTGTCAATTAGTTTGTTTACAGCAGCTGTTAATGTGAGACAACCTTAAGTGCATTTAGTGATTGCCCCTTCGTGGTAAGCGTTTTGAGTCGATTGAATGGGTAGAAGAGAATTCGCTGAAGGAACTAAAAGCCATACTGCACGGGCCTACGAAAAGTGTATGGAAGATTGGGTTAAGCGTTAGCATATGTGTATCGCTTCAGAAGGAGCATATTTTGAAGGAGATAAAATAAATTTGGAATAAAATTTAAATTTGTGTTTTATTTACAAAATCCAAGTACTTTTTGAGCGGAAGGTATAGAGCCTATCTTTCCTAGTCTTGGATCCTATGTAGCCCTTCGTACAACAGACTGAAATTGATAACAACTAGATAACAACTTTGATGTTAGTTTTGAAAAAATATTATATTAGTTTTAATTAGTTATGATATTGATTTTTATGAAGAATCTATATTTAACTATATAAACTAACGCAAAAAACCAGACTTCTAGTAGACCCAGAGAGTTAAGAAAAACTATAAAGATATAGAGGCATAATACAAAAAATATTAAAATGTTAGGGAGCACTATGTAAATCTAAAGATTGAAGAATAAAAATGGAATTTTTCTTATTGATTACTAAGAAGAAACTTAAGAAATTATAAGAAGTTATATTTAAAAAAACAAAAAAGATCCAGAAAACTAAAAAGACTACAACGGTGGAGGTGTAGTAAAATGTAAAACGTTGAAAAACGTTGTGTTAATTTAAAGTTTTAAGAATATATGGCATTATAAATTATTTGTGCTAATAAAAATAATGATGTTTGGAATTCAATTATAGATTTAAGTTTATTATATTGTGGCAGTACCTCCTATGATAGCACTGTTGATATTATTTCCTCAGTACTCAGAAAATAGTTGATGATAACTTTGTTAGGGTTATATCTGCCTATATCTGTTAGGGTTATATTATATCTGTCTATCTGACTATTCAGGCAATAGCTTACGATAACTATGCTGGTATTGATTGAAATTAAGAATAAAAACTGAGAAGTTAATCAATGAAAATGGTTTTTGAAATATTCTTCATGATGGTCAATAGATTTTTACATTCGATTGAACCAATTTTCGAAACAGTTTTGCCACTCTGAACTTGGTATCTCCAATTACCGTCTATTCGTACTTAGAAAAACGCTCGCTACGTATTTATTTCTTAATGTTTGAGCACAAATCGGGATGTAGTATTAAAATTATTAATAACATATATTACAATTAAGATGAAATATGAATGTTAAGTTGAAATTGAAAGCTGTCTTTCAATTGGGTAGATAGGTACACGGCTTCTGTGAGTAGCATAAATTGTCGATTAACAGATATTTAGGTAAGCGATTATTTAAAATTTTATTAGTCAATTAGTTTAACAAACATTTCATTTTTAGATGAATTTGAAAAAAAAGTCTAAGACTATTCTCAATTAATTTAAAAACCTCTTCAAAGTAAATTAAGTAATTATTTGAAATTTTATTATATTATTTATTATATTATATATATTATATATTATATTATATTACTTATTATTTAATATTTATTTATTAATCAATTACTGCAAAAGACATTTCATAAGTAGATGAAAAGACGACCTAAAAACATACTTTATTAACTTAAGAACCTTCTTAATTCCTCTTTGTAAGGAGTCATAAAAATAGATAAAAAATTTAACTGTTGCAGAACTAACCAGATGCATACGTAATCACCAGAAGGCAGACATTTCCTCGTATGAAATTCAATGCAGCTAGTAGAGAAAAGGAATACCAAGTGTATTGAATGTATAAGTGGTATAAATGATTCTAAGGTGTATCGGACTCTTTTGAACGAGAGCTATAGATATTACATGTAGAAAGGGTAAGCTAGATAGGACTAGTAGGCCAGTGTTATTTAAGGAATCACCTTTGCGTGATTCAAATTTAAGTTTTACTTGAAAAATGTAATAAGTAGATTGCCAATACAGTGGACTTGGTGAGGATATTTTAATATTTTGTGATAGACTAGCACTGTTGTAAGTGTTGTAAGATCAAATTCCGACTTCACAAGACCAAAGTGATAAAGTGTATTTATTTTGTTTAAATCTGCATTAAAAAGTATGTCGACTTAAAGTTTTTACCTGTTTTGACTGTTGAATACAATATTCAAAAGTATTTTTTTTTATTTAGTATAAGTTCATATATATAGCGATAGTATTAATAAATATATAATAGATGCAATAATATATTTAATATCATTTTTATGACACTAAAAAATATTTGAATAGTTCTGATAGCAAAATGAAAGTTTCATTAGGAGTATGAAAAAATTTCAGTAGTCAATCTACAAAAACAATATCTTGAATTATGAATTTAAATCGCTGTGTATAGAAGGGATCCTTATTTCTTCTTGATTATATTTATCAGGTTTAAGTAAACATTCAATTCAAACAACTGCCTATGCCAATATTACAAATAATGTAAAAAGGAAATAGAAATTCAAAGGATGGTTTAAAAATCTGCATATAGCTCTATTGCTATATTTGTTTTATAATAAAAAAGACTCCATTTCGATTTTTAACTATCCGAAATGAATTTTTGGCTACGGATTTCATACTAATAGTATAAAGGTTAGCCGTGATTTGGGATGTGATATGGAAAAAGAAACAAAAGAATAATTAAAGAAATATCGTAAGGCCCAAACAAATCTATAAATCGGAAATAGGGACTTTAAGTATAAATAATTTGCGCAGTAAAAATGTAAAGTTTTGGAAGAATCTGCGTACTAAGATGAGCTTATTTGTAGTAAAATGAAAATAAAATAAAATTTATTAATTTGTGGGATTAGTTAAAATAACAAAGCTTTCCGAAAATCATAACATATTGACAACTGATAATGATTGACATTAGACTTTAATAGCATTAAAATTATTTACAAACCTAAAGATGGAAAATAACACAGCATCTCAACCAAACCGGTAAATAAAGTAATTAGTTATTGAGTTCTATGATAATATTATCAAAACCAGGTTTCTTCTGTATACACATATTATATATTGTGTCTTTTTTTTAGATAAGTTTAAGAATAAGAAAGTACTCGTTATTAGTTAGTAACAGATTAATAGTATAACGAGGTAATAAGGCTGATGCGATAATAGTATAATACATAATATGATCTACCCAAAGGAATATGTAAAAATTTAAATCATATCCAAATTTTTTCCACTTCTTAAAATTAAAATATGGTATACAGAATTATTTAGGAGCCTAAAAACAGGGAATAAATCTAAATACAAGTAGTAAAGTTTATAGTATTGTAAATGGTAACAATTAATAATAATGTAATGAATCACTTTTAATATATGCATATCTGATACTTTACGAGAAAGTAATTTTTTCTGATCAGAGTTTATTTAAATTAAAATCAAACTAATTTAAAAAAAATATCTTATTTCTTATCTAGAATGTTTGATAAGACGCGTCAATTACCTGTTATATCAATTATACGTAATGTATCTATAATTGGTTCCATAATATCTTGAGGGATACGTGCTAATTTATTGTTTTGCATGTTTAGGGTTTCAAGTGAGTTGAGATTTTCAAATATCATGCTTGGCAAAACTTTAATACTAAAAATATAAAGTAAGTTAATTATTAAAAAAATAACTGGCTAATTTGTATATACTAACTCATTTTTTTGAATATTAAGAAAAGTTAATGAATCTCCATATCCAGTAAACGCATCCTCAGCAATGAAACTTATATTATTGTTGCGCAAATCCAAGTGTCTTAAACGGTGTAGAGGTCGCAGAGCTTCACTGGGTATAGCTTGTATGTTGTTATCTCCCAGACGTAAATATTGTAGATTTTCTTAAATATAAAGTGTAATGGTAATTAGTTACAATTAATAAATATATAATATTTATGTAAAAGAATTATAATATTTCATTGATATGTAATATGAATGATATGTAAAATTGTTTACAAGTGATTGGTGCACTTTACACTAATGGCTTTTTCGATTGGTAAATCTGTGGCAAAATGTATAACACTCGAGATAATAATTAACATAATTATTCGAAATAATTTATAAAACTTTAGATATTTTGCTAGAGTAGCAAGATTATTTTGAAACTCCTGTTAAGTGTTTTATATAATTTGTTAGATAAAGTGTTATTTGAATCGTTATACACATGTTTTTGTAAAAAATATAAGTTACTACCAACACTTTTTCAAAAATGTTAGATTGCTCTAAAAATGGTTGATTGGGCATTTCAAAATCTAGATTGAATTCAGATTTATCAATCGAAAACGCCATAAGCTTTATATAAAGTAAAAATAATTTCATAATAATTGTGTTAAGTTGGGTGATAGTATTATTTTTTTAACGAATTTTACAGAAGAAATAATTAATTCGTTAATTTCAAAAATGCTAAAGAGTTGGGGTCTACAAACCCCATCTTTTTTTTTAACTTGTTTTTACCATTTTAAGTTAAATTCTAATACAATCCTCTATTAAACGACTTAAAAATAGTTTTTAAATATATACCACCTTAAATTCGAAACACAACAACCACATACATTTAACAATCTATTTAAAATGTGTTTTATCACGAACACGCGTTTAACAAGTTAAACAGTACAATGACAAATTGATTTAAATGTCATTTATCGTGATTAAGCATTTATCCTAATAAACAGAGTAGATTAGAAGTACCATAAATAAAATAAAATAAAAATTGTTGTACTTATTCCAGTTAAAACTAACATATTTTAAACAAAAGATATTATGATTAATAAGACAGACAACTTAATAGTTATTGTCTCAAATAATCTAATTAATCTATCTATCTATTTTATGTACTCTGTATGAAGATCATTGTGTTATGAAAGCATATCTGTAATAGTGATAAATTACTCTTACTCTTACTCTATTATGGTTATATAATGGTTAAAAACTGTATTATGCTAAGAAAGTGTTTTTAAAAAAATTAATAAGGATTTACATTCTTTTAATTCTTAATTAGTGACAAATGTTTGTATGATTCAGTTTGAATTATTCTTTTATTGTAATTAGAGAGTATATTACTGTTCTCAATTAATTTAAAACTAATATTCTAATCATAATAATATTCGAAGTTTATTATAAACAAAAATTGATTGAAATGCTTTAAAGGTTATATGAAGTATAACATACAAGTACGACTATTATCTACAAATATTATCTAAAAACTAGTACTAGGGAAAACATAAAGTAAAATGGTATAGCTGTATTATCTGATATCCGAATTTGGCATACAGATATGTCAACATTTTATAATGGACGGATATGTTGGAGTATGATGCGGTTAGGCATGTAACCAGTGATGGGACCAAAGGTCTAATTAAACTGATATAACTACTATCCTGGTTAAGGTTTTAATAATTACAATTTAATGATTTCGATTTAAATTCACGAACCCAAATTAATGTAATACTGAATTGCATTTATCTTTTTTTAAGAATTGAGTGAGTTCAATAGTTCTAGAATATATGGATAGTTTTGCTATTATTAAGACAAAGGTAAACCATGAAATAATATGTTTAAAACCAACTGTGTGTTTTTTAAAACAGAATAACAGTGTTTAACTTATTATAATGTGTATAAGTATTGTAATTTGAAAGTTTTATAACAATATCTTCATATTTACCTTCTAAACCCTTAAAGGCTTCTTTATCAATTTGATTAATTTTATTGCCTTCTAATTCCAATGAGTTAAGTAGATTGAGATGTGAGAATACATTAGCAGGTACACTTGTTATCATGTTATGAGCGAGTATTAAGGAATCCAAACTCTCTAAACCTATGAAAAGATAAAAAAAATATAATTATATAACATTATATCATAAATTAAGTTATTAACATACCTGCAAAGTCACCTTCACGTATTGTTCTTATCTTATTTTCTTGTATTTCCAATTTCTTAAGCGTATCTAGTATGGATAAAGCCTTTTGGGGAACGGCAGTCAATTCATTACCACCCAAATTTAAACGCTTTAGTTTTCTAGATAAATAAAATAGATAAGATAGTATGATAATGTTATAGACTATAAACATTTTGTAAATACTTACTTCTCTAATCCTCTAAAAGCTTCTGGTTCGATAAGGGTGATTTTATTTTCATATAGGGTTAATATTTCCAATGTGTCAAGCCCTTCAAAAGCATTATTGTGAATAACAGTTATTTTATTATGATTTAAATTCAAAATTAGAAGATGATAGAGATGTTTTAAAGCTTGGGATTGTACAGTTTTCATTTGATTTAACGATACATCGAGTTGAGTTAAACCTCTTCCTATAAATACACATAAACGGCAAAACAAAAACAACAAATTATTTTTGTCTGTATTAATATAAATATATAAAATGATTATACATACCTAATGAACTGAGTGCATTTTCCTCAATAGCGGCCAAACTGCTGTTATGTATGGTTATGTGACGTATATCGAGTGCTAGAAATACAAAACCTTGTAACTTCGGTAAGTTGTTATGCCGTAGTTTCAAGTAGAAGATAATGGGACTTTTGCCTTTCAATGTACTCATTGACTTAGTTATGTGCGCCAAATCGGTTGCTTCACACAGTATGTCCAAACCATTCTTCTTAACCGTACATATGCAGGGTGAGATATCATTTTGCTCAGGACAAATTTGCTGCTGAGGTGGGTTTTGAGCATCAACCTTTTCCAAAGCTGCTAGTAGGAAAATAGCAATAATCGTCGTTAAGCCAATAGCGCCACAAAACATCTTCTTTACAGCCGCTTTCATACTGAAGTACACTTCTTTCTCACTCTCGTTTGCAATCGCTTTTTTCACAAATTTCACAAATCCCTAATAGAATGCAAAAAAATCATATATATATATAAATATATTAAAAATAACATATATACAAAAGACGCATCAATCAGTAATGAAATGATAACAACAACGGATGGCAGTAAATACAGTAGCAATAATAATAATCATAGCATAGAATGTAAATAAGCAAAAGTACAATGAGTCTATGATGACTACGAGATATTAAATTACGGACAATTTCAATTTTATTTGGTAGAGCACAGCATTTTCACATACTTTGGATTTGTATCGGCCTAATCAAAATTGGGTACTCACTATTTTTATTTTGAAAACGAGTCTTCTTAATTAAAATCATGATTAAACCCACTACATCTGATAGATGTGCTATAGTATCAGTTGCTAATCTTTCTAATTCCCTTATATAATAAGAAATATAAATATTTCAATTTATGTATAAATAATATATTTTAATAAAAACACTCATACATGGTATTTCCTTTATACTTGAGATCCCTGAGTTTTCAGAGTTCTTGATTAAATTCCCGATATTCCTGAAATTCCATTTTTGAGATATAAAAGTTGATCGCTTTAATCTTTTTTACGTATGTTTTTTGGTTAACATTTTTCACCTCGGCAAATACTTATAACAGATGTCATTTTCTAACATTTTTTTTTGTTTCTTAGATCAAGAAAACGGTTTGAGGATTTATGTATGTATAAACGCTGGAGAAATCTACAAGATTATATATACCATATATTGACTTTTTAAATTGTTTGTAAAAATGCTAGTAAAGCATATCAATCCACTTACATCATATCAAAGAAATAATATCAAATAATAAGAGTCAATATCAATGGTTCGTTGTATTTTAAGATCAAAGATTCAATATACCATATACCCTAATTTTAAAATGTAAGAACCTATTCCACTGGTAAACCTCATTAAATTTTTAGTCATATAATAATTACATTCTTCAATCGTTTTTAAATATTTCTCTATCTCACAACATTACTAGTAGTAAAGTATATTTTAGATGATATTAATTAATTTATAAGGAGAAGACAAAGTAAGACCTAGTGATTCACATTCATAATCATTATTAACACTACGACCATTATACGGTCTTGGCTTTCTTCAATTAGTTTCTCCATCCATCGCGATTGTGAATTATTAAAAATAAAAAACAAATAATAATAAAAATAATCACAAAAAAAATTTAACAAAAAAAAAACATAAAAACAATAACAAAGTTTTGGTCTCCCAGAGTCAAATAATGCAACTAAAAAAGATCTCTTGACAATAAGGCTATAGAAATTCGGTTTTAAATCTATGAAGCAGTTTGGAATAAACTTAGTATTTTGGTGTTTAAGGTAATACTATTACTGACATATTCAATTGGTATGAGTAAAAATAGACTTTATTTAAAAGTAAAAATCACTTTATAGATTTCTATTACAGATTCAATGACATCAATTAAGCAAATTATAACCCGTATGGTAAATAAACTTGGTTCTGATCTATCAAAAAAAATGGTTTGTAAGTGACCTAGTTTACTTAAAAGTGGATTTAAAAACCAATACTATTTACGTTAGGAGGTCTAAAAACTGCAATACCAAAAAAAAAATCATCGCAAAAACTCAGACATGGTTTTCGAAGATAGTCGATTGATTGTAAAAAAATTCTATAGAAGCTCGAAAAATTTTATAGACAGCGAACGATATTGTAGTTTTGGGTTTCAAAAAGTTATGCAACGAATATGACCTCATCAGCAATATTTGGTATATTTTGGAAAATTTAAAAATTAATTCGTATTTAATCACTATAAATGAAATTATGAAGATCTGGGCTGAGTGGTATGAACCTGACTGTTTAATTTCGAAATGTTCAAAAACACCTAAGAGAGGTGTTAGCTGTAGTTTTTTTTGGGATTGAAAAATTATTTAGTTGGCATATTACTTTTTATATAGTAAAATAATCTTAGATTAGTATTGAAACTTGCTGGATTATATAGATTGAAAAGTTCGTGAAAAAAGATGCGGTTTAAAGAAAAGAAGATCTATTAAGACAATGCATCTGCTCACACATCTCACAAATTCATTGCTACAATCAACAAAAAAAAATACATATTGGTATAACAACCAGACGAATTTATTAGATTTAGCTCCTTCTGACTACTGATGCTTCTCAGACGTCTTAAAAATCTTTTCTTTAAAAAAGCTACAGTAGAGCATTGGAGAACCGTTGGAATAAATACATTGAAGTGCATTGAATAGAGGAACAAATACGGAAATTGAAGATATTTTTAAACTTAAAAATTCAATATTTCATTTGGCGAACTTATTGAACTATCTTGTATAGAGACTCGTATAATACAAGTCCAATACGCTGAATAATAGACCGTTTATATTGGTTAGACGAATTTCAATACTGTATGCGAATAAAAATTTAGAAAAGGTAGTGGTGTTAGTGAAAAAGTGACAGCATGAGTGGTACAAACCAGTCGATAAAATGTCATATTAGTTTTTATACAATAAATTCTGGAATCGAATTTAAAGTGCAATCGATTAAATTAGAAAGGATGATTAATTCTTTGTACTAATTATTTATATGGGATCTATATAAGTCAGTTACAGTTACACCATAATTTCGCAAAAATCTTCATTTCAGCGAAATTAAGTGGTTTTTTCCATACAAAATTCAGTTTTGAGGTTAGATTTGTGAACAAAAAACATATGATTAATTTAGGGCAGTATGAACACTTTCGAAATTAACTTAATTTGATTTTTAAAAAATTAAGGAAATTTAGCTGTCTATATATAGTATAAGTAAGTTGTAAGTTAATAATAAAAAACTGTGATTCCTTTTAATTTTTTTGAATAAAGCCAAATCATAATTTAATTTTAATGAAAAATAGTTTCAAGTCAGGTTATAACAATTGTCAGTAAGAAATATAAATATAGGAAGATAGATAAAAGTTAGATAGAATTAAGAACAGAGCTAAACATTGTTTATATCAAATTTTCCTAAACAAAATAAAATTACTCCTTATCAAAAACAAAAAAAGGTTATATGATGCATGTTTTCAAAAATATTTAAGACTGGCAGTAGCGCTCCTCAATTACAACTAACTAAATTCCCGCAATTTTAGTGAATTGTCAGAAGAGTTGAATATGTTTTGATTACATGTGACGTAAATTGAATTGTGTACTTCAATAAATGAACACAAAACGCCAAACAGAAAGCAACAAAAAGGCAAAAATTAAATAAATAATATTAATTATAATTCATTTTTATTAATATTACTTATGTAAATAAACACAGACGACACAATGAAAAGTAATAAATAGTAACATAATTTAAAGTTCATATATTAATATTCCACAATAATTTTATATTTACAAAATTATTTTATACTACTTTCATACTTGTTATTAAAGTGCTTCGTTTTTGCTTTTAAATGCTTTATTATAGCATTTTATTTTTTACAACATCACAAGCATTTGCAATTATTACATTTATGAATTATGTATTTATATAACGAGTAGATAACAATTGCAATAAAAGTGATTAAATGATATAAATGACTGATAATGAAGGAATTTATAAATTTGGTAAATAGTAGGAATTATTGTGTTTCACTGGAAATTTAAGATGACAGATTAGTATAGAATGATGTGGCATTATGTATTAGTTTAAATTAAAGTCTTAAGAATGTATTATGGGATTTCAGTCATTCAATACCAACAAGTGACTCAAATGACAAATGATGGCCTCACTACAAAAAACCCAGTTAACTTTTGAAAGCACGTCATACTTCGAATATCGAGCCTATCCTCTTTCGTTTTCATAATTGCGAAATATAACTTATGTATATATAAGTGATATGAAAAGAAAACTCATATTGGATAGGTACTCAAAGTGGTTGTACTGAAAAGTAGACAATTAGAGATTATAGACTTACTAGAGATTTATGCTTAGACTGTTCACGGATTTCATTATTTTAATATAAAAATTAAAAGATTATAGATATCAGAGTATGATGATATTGCTTCATAGCTCGATTAACAAATAAGTAAAACTTGTTGAAGAGAACACAAATATGACAAAATATTTTTAAAAAGAATTTTAAGGACATTTTAAATATTGGGGTTTATAATTTATTTGAAAAGTGGTAAAGGATCAGAATAACAAATTTATAAAAAAAAATTATGATTCAATTTTCACACATAGGTGTGTAAGTTTTCATACAAATGTAACCCAAAAACCTAAGATGTTGAGCGTAGATAATGTTATAAATTTGAAAAATATCTTAGCACTCAAGACAATTTGAAACCTATTCAGCTTAACTTAGCACACTTACGTATAATAAAAAAATTGCTAATATTTCCATGGTTATCAGGGGTGGCCGAGACTTTATCCCGGAGTCACCGGGATGCTCAAATAACGTTCACAACAGACAGAAATAATGCAAGTTTGGAAATAATGGATTTCAGATCATGAATCACTAAAATTTTATTGTTTGTTTTTATAAACTAACGGGTTAGCGGGTTTATTGGTATATTAGGTCTAATTATTCTTTTGGTTTTCGGTAGAAAATCAAACGATTCTTATCACTTCACAATATATAAAAAGGAATCATTCCAATAATATTCTTTTTTATATAATTAATAAGTAGCAGATATTTATTTTATTGTATTTATTATTGTTTCGTTTTAAGAAGCAAAAAAAAATAATATTTTTAAAATTATATTTAATTTCTTTAATATAATGCATTGAACCCAAGGTTTCGCAATATATTCCTAGTAGAGTATAACATTAAGGCGGTGAAATAAAACACTAAACATCGGGTTCAATACTTTATATTAAAAAAAAACCATTAAATCAATAGAAATAATTTGTTCTTTTTTATTTAATACTTCTTCAAATTTACCGAGAATCTGAGAGGTGCATTAAAACATTTATAATTTTATCACTTTATAGTTTACCGAGTTACTGAGCAACATCTGTACTTTTCCTAACATTTTTCAAACTTTGGAACATATAAAAAGATATTACTATACATTATTTTTAAAAATGTTTTTGAAACTTTCAAATATAATATTTAAAAAGGCTTTACTGTACTACACATTCTTTGAAAAAGATTTTCCTACATTTTTATAATAATACTATCATTTTTGACAGTACATATGGTTATACATGGGTCTTGGTTTTTTAGTTTGTCTTAGTCTTCCTTAATTGAGATTGGTTTATTAATATGCCTTAAGTAATGTAGATAATTAGATCCAGGAAAGTGGGTACCAAGTGGCGGTGATTGAAAAGCAGTGCTACGTCAGGTTGAACCCCGATGTTTAGGTTTATTTAATTGTTACGGCGAATTAAGTACTTGGTTTGTCTTAATCTTCCTTAATTTGGATTGGTTTATTAATATGCCTTAATTAATGTAGATAATTAGATCCAGGAAAGTGGGTACCAAGTGGAGGTGATTGAAAAGCAGTGCTACGTCAGGTTGAACCCCGATGTTTAGGTTTACTTAATTGTTACGGCGAATTAAGTACTTGGTTTGTCTTAATCTTTCTTAATTTGGATTGGTTTATTAATATTAATATGTCTTAAGTATTGTAGATAATTGGATTCAGAGGAGTATGGGTACCCAGTGAAGGCGATTGGAAAGCAGTGCTACGTCAGATCGAAACTCGATGTTTAGGGTTACTTAATTGTTACGGTCAATTAAGTACTTGGTTTTTCTTAAACTTCCTTAATTTGGATTGGCTTATCAATATGTCGTAGGTATTATAGATAATTGGATCCAGAGGATAGTGAATACCCAGTGAAGGCGATTGAAAAGCAGTGCTACGTCAAGTCGAAACTCGATGTTTAGGGTTACTTAATTGTTACGGTCAATTAAGTACTTGGTTTGTCTTAATCTTCCTTAATTTGGATTGGTTTAACAATATGTCTTAAGTATTGTAGATAATTGGATCCTGAGGAGGGCAGGTATACAGTGAAGGCGATTGTAAAGCAGTGCTACGTCAGGTTGAAACCCGATGTTCAGGGTTACTTAATTGTTACGGTCAATTAAGTAAGTAAGTTATTGTTTAAAACAATCATAAAATATTAAAAAAAAATATTTGAATAAAGAACAAAAATTAACAACTTTTGAAATTTGAGCAACAAGAATTAAGTTCATCTTGTATGGTAACACGTCGGTCCATGGTTCCAATTTGAGCAGATTTTCATTCGTAATTAGTCAAAGATTGTATTTAGACTCTCTAAACTTCAAATATATTCTAAATCCACTTATGTTGAATATTTGGAAATATTCAAGAAAGATAAATGTTCAGCCAAAACAAAGGTCCATTAATCAAAATTAAATAAAAATAAGTTCTAATTATTCTTAATTTAATCACATTTATTTAATCTAAATCTTTGTTTACTTCTCTCGGCCCTATGCTCATCCTAGGAGTTAAAGGAATTTATATGGTATATATTTATTTGTTTACTTCTACACACATCCTTACAATTTCCGTTTACTACTATTTTTTTCCGCAAAAACAAAGTTCACTTAGAAAGAGAATGCGTGTTAATGACAATGAAATTGTTTAACAGAAGTCAAAATAAATGTTTATGAGTCCTTTTACAGTCCAATGACTGCCATAAACTTTTCGCCTACTACGTCTGAGGTGGAAAGTGTCAAATTTTAAAACTGAAAACATATCAACAAAAAAACAACAAAAAAAAAAGAACAAAAAAAAAATAAAAAAAGAAAACAAACTTAAAAAAAAAAGATTGCATCACGTGACTTACCAAAATAAAATGTCCTGCAGTGTAAATCCGTTCCCTCTACTTTATCATGCTTTAGGAGTAGCTGAGGGTGTTGTTGGTGTTGTCAAAAGTGTACGTCTTTGAAACTTGTCCACCATGTGGACGATGAAGTCAGCGCTTTTTCAGTACACACAACTCATAACTTCGTTGGTATTTTGTTATGTTTATAAACTTTCCGAAACTGATTTAATTAAATTGACTCGACGCGTAAGCAAATTATTTTTAGACTCTATTAAAATGTCCTTCCTTCCTTCCTTTCCTTTGTCTTGTCACTTACCACTTACCACTTACCACTTTCCGACTATATTAATTGAATTGTATTAATTGAATTTTTTCTGCACTTGTCTGTTAACTTAGATAAATGAACTCGGTGGAGTCGTGAGTTACGAGTTAGGAGTTGCGAGTTGAAAGTTAGGAGTTGCGAGTTGTGTAAGTGTAACAGAGTGTGTGTTTGAGTGTGTATACTGCGCCACTAACTGTAATAGTAACAAGGAAAAATCGATAAATTTCGATACAAAAGAAATCAGGCAAATTTTGATATGATGTCCTACTTTGTCGAATTAAGTTGTTGCTCCTATTGCATGTTTTTCAAGTGGGGTGGATGTGACAGAACGTACATTTTTCTCAACAACCTTTCCGTTTAGAATAGAAACAATTATTTCGTTTTAATTTTGAAATGAACTTTCTATTAATTATTTAATATATTTTAATGAAACTCTCTTTTTACCGATATTTTTCTGCTGCTCTGCTTTTCAGTCCACAAAAAAAAATTTTAAAAACTAATCCTTGCAAATCGAATTCCAGCGAGCAGAAAAACTGACACTTTTACAAGCGACAACAACAACGACGTTGAACGACGACAAACAGCGTACTGAAGTCGCGTTTGACAACATTTTCGAAAATTGGTCAGAAAAGCAAACGAAATCATCCCCTGAGCTTGTTTTGTTTATACAGGAAATGGGTCGGTTGTGCAGTGCACGCACTACTTGTAGCGCCGTTTTTCGAAAATTATTAGGTGCGTATAATTTATGAATTAATTTTTAGTTAGTCAATAAATTTATGTGTTTATGTGTTTATTAATAGGAATTTTTATTATTAATAAAGTTGCTTGCGAATTATAGAAATAAATAATATTGAAATTTAATAATTTAAAATAAGTGTAAATGATAAATTCAACTATTCTACAGCTGGTTTATGATTTTGTTTTAATATAATACAGCAAATGAATCTTTTACAGCAAATTCCAAGTTAGTTGGCCAAAACCAATGAAGAGTCAATAATGTACACTGACTCTGAGCTTCAACTTTAACATGGTACTAGTCAAATTCTTGGTAGTTGCAGTCTCAACAAATTATTTAAGAATAATTTAATATAAAAAAGAACTACGCTCCCCTTCTGACATTAAAAGGTCCTCAATGGCTGATATTCTGGCTTTCATTCGGAAGGCGAAGTGTCTTCTGTTAAGGTCTGTTGCACCACAAAAGATCAATCATGATCGTAGTGCTCCGCTCCGGTGGGAGCTGGCATCCCGTTTATTTTTATTCCTAATATAAAATATAAATCCAAGACCACTGATGATGTGCATTTAGCAATACTCGAAACAGCTGTATAGTCAGCCAAAAAATCAATTAATTAAAAATAAATAAAAATTTTGTTGTTGCAATTCAATACTATTCGGAAACTCTCTATTAAACACAATAGTTTCTATTAAGTAAAATAGTCACTACGGTTCATAACTACGGCTCAAATCAAATTTAATATAAAGTTATTTGCTATAAAATACTCAGTCTTTTATTAGCTACTTTTGCAATGTAATAATACAGAACGTTCTTTTATAATTTATTAGAGATTTTAAGTTCATTAAAACATGTGAAGCTCAGATCTGTTTCTTATCATCTGTGTCAGTGTCCATCATTGGCTTGAAGGAGAATTAAAATCCTCGAAGTCCCTTTGTTTACCGACCTGACAGGGCTGTTATTCTGCAAAATTAGAGATTTGGCCAAGTTTATAGACTTGTCAGCTTGGTTCACTTTCATTGGGATGGGAAAGTCGTGCCTATCGGCATTATTCGTACACTAACCTCTAGTCTGCATATAAAAAAAGCTAATCCGTTGTATCACAACGGGTCATTTTTTTTTAGCTCACGTGAGAGCGATATCTTCATTATCACTTAGCTCTTCATTTTGCTACTTACTTTGAAAACATCACCCAGTGGGTATGTAATCACAAATTTTGTTTCAACTAAAAAAGTTTGTGTATATATAAATTAAGTTAGGTTGGATTACTATGGCCAGTAGTTGATTTAATAAACTTATATAAACTTTAAGAGCCCATTGTGATATCATTATTTAGCGCTAAACACTATCTTGAGAAAAAAATATAATTGGTTAAGAAATTCACATTTACTTCTAGCTAAAGCGGGGCAATAGCAAAAGCGTAAGTATATGTATTCCCGACTGAACATGTTTCATGCATATTTATACTTTAATCCTGTTTATTGCCGAATACGGGATTAGACTCCTTATTACTTTCATTAAAGTTACTAAGCTTAAAATAAGAGAATGTGTATAAAGCTGATATTAAAGTATGTATGTAGTGGATATGATTAAACTTAAAGAATTAACTGAATAAATGGTAAATTATTATAAATAGTGAATAGTAGCATTCAACAACTGTTAACTCGTAGGGTGGAATAATAATTATATTTGAAATATTTTGATTTGTACCATGAAAATTTTATGAAGTACATGATTTTTAAAAATCAAGTAGAGTTGCACATAAATCTTATCCTTTGTCATGTAACACAACCTTTTTACCGTAAATGTTTTCTATGTTTATTTCGTACCATAGACACAGACCATTTTGTGATGTTTTAGCAAAGACCTTACCCGGCAGCTTGAAGTGTTAAACTGCATTATCATATGCGTGAAGAAAATTTTTAGAACATTAATGACACAAACCACAGTAAGCATTTTGTACAGTGACTGCGGTACAGTACATAGTGTATATATACAGTACAGAGTGACTGCAATTATATTTGAACATAAGTAAGAACTGATGGACTTTTATTTTCGCAGGAATGTCTACCACACATAGGCATTGATAGTGGCTGGTCTATTTTAAGGAAATGTTTCCAATTAACTTATATGTCTCAATAGTAGCGTAAATTATTAATGAAATAGTGTGAAAAAAAGTAATTACCATGCAGATATTCAAGTAAATATTTGTTTAAATATAGTAATATTTTATTGCAGAGAATCTCTTATTACTTATTACTTGTTAATAAGTGAGAGAGTATAACCCATCATACCGCATAGTTTTTGTAGATGGACAAAATTTAGATGTTTAGAATTTTTTTATAACAAAGCGTTCTTTAATTTATAAAATAAATTTTAAACGAATCTTCTTGAAATTTTCAAAGATTTATTTCACAATTTTGGGAGAAGCATATTAAAAATATAATAATATAAGTTATATAGTACATAATACTCGGTTCAGTTTTCACTCAGTTCAATCCTCCTTTTAACAACAATCGGATACGGGTGAATAAAATGACCAAATATTTCATTTAACATTTTACAATGTCTACAGTTATTAGTGTATTCTAATTCCACTTTGTTTTTAATTACAGCATTGTAAATAGTTAAAAAATCACAGCTTGATTTAAGTTCAGATATATTTTGACGGAGAAGTCTATTTGTATCTCAAAAGTTGACTCTAATAAGCTGTTAAAATCGACTCTTCAGCCAATGATTTCATAAACTACTAATATGAGACGTTTTTAGAAGTGATGTAGTGTAAAAAGTGTATATCCAGCAGGTATGTTTGGAAGAAGAAGGAAGATTATAGATGTTTTTGCCAAGTTTGTTAGCTGTATCTAAACCATTGATTTTCTCGTTTCCTGGTATTATTTTGTTCATTACGTGGTCTATTAGATTATGGCTATCTTATGTCATCTTGAATTGATTTACCCAAAATTAAAAAAAACTCATATCAGCTATTCGACTAATAGTATAATAAAATATTATCATAACATAATAATAATTCAAAGATAAAATTAATTCAAATATCATACATTTAAAAAATTATGGTTTGAAATATTTAAGATTTACATTTCTATAGCGGTGAAAAGAGTTTTAAAACTCCTTCCACAACATTTAAGTTTAGATTAGGTGCAGTTAGGTGAAGTGGAGGGTGGAACGAGTCCTCCTCAATTAGCTAAAAAACCGTTTTGTTTCCAAAATTCCTCATACTGGTGGGTGGAAAAAATACTGACGGAATAATACTGAAAATATCGCCAAGTACGTTTAAAAATGGCTTAAGTAGTTTAACTAAGCTTAAGTAGTTCTAGACAAGTTTGGAGATAGACACAATAGGTATTCTGGGGAATACCGGGGATATACAGGGAGTACAGGGGATATTAGAGGGTAGACCGAACTTGGCCCCATGTCGCCCCACAGTCAAACAGAGAGTTATTAACCTAGATACTTTTGATTTGCTTTTATGTACCAAGTCAGGCGTTCTACATTTTGAGTAAAATGGTCAAGTAGCCCTTGACCTAGCTGCTGTAGCAGTATAAGCTCACTCCCTATTTGCCTGTCGCAGAAAATGGTCACAAATCAACTTACGGCTGTGAATGGCAGATGTAGGAATTGGAATAGAAATTTCCTTAAAAGATGCGTCAAGTCTGACTAGTTCAGCTGTGCACTCATTACCTACTATATTAGAATGCCCTGGAACACAAACTAGAGTTACCTTGGACCTGCCACTTAGTATGTTAATACATTGACTTCATTCGTCTTCTTAAAAGATGTCAAATTTTTTTTCAAATTTTAATAGGAAAATATGACATAAAAACTCGTTTCATTCTTAAAGAATTAAGGACTCTCTTATCACATTACCCAACTAGTTACATCTCTCTTATGTACCTCATATTATCAACATACGGGCAGGTGAGAATCTCTCAGTCATTTTAAAACAGTAATCAAACCCATATGCAGTTGATATGGACTTCGACATCCTTTTTCAAACTTTACATACATCTTTATAAAACCATTTCATCTCTAGCAAGCCAAAAACAAGAGAAATCCATTGCCAATTTCTATTCAGAGTATTTCACTTTGTCCATGTATCCGGCTAGTTATGGGAATTCAAATTTATAACCGTTTTCAAGAGCAATTATTTTATTCAAATGGACTAAAATTAATTGAAGGTTCCTTTAATTACACAGCTTTATTTCTCACAGGTGTACATGGTCTCCTAGCTCTTGAGAGTCGAGAGTGCACAAAAGTATGTCAAAGACAGAGAGCTGAAATTGTGTGATTCTATGGATAGACGCACTAATTCAGAATTGGACTCTCTCAAATCAAATGCAATATATATTCCGTCAGGATGATATGTTAGGCTTCGAAGTATATATCTATAAAATCATCTGATAATTAATTTTAGAATTAAATGGAACTTTTGTTACAGTGGATTATCCAAGTAGTGACCGACGTTATTGAGTAAGAGTGCTTTAAACACTAACTAGGACTTGATCAAGAAAAGAAGAGTAGACATGGTATCCAGCGCCTCTGATTTTGCTTTACAAATGTCTTTTAGACGCGTATTTAAAACTGCTATTTGTTTCTCCATGTTTTAGTTTTCCAAGAAGATTACTAACAGACTATTTCTGGTATGTAGTGCACTCACCGTAATCAAAAATAGGTACGATTTATGTGACCAGTGACATCTGCTTTTCTGTGTAACATTGATCTGTAGCAGGGTCTTTTCGCGTTATGTGTGTGATGGATGTAATATGTAAAATATATTAATCTCTTAGATGTTATCTATTAACTTCTGCTATTCATCCACATTAAACCTTTCTTGTGGTTTTATTATTTGTAATAATTATTTTTATTTACTATTTAAAGCTTTCCACATTAAATATTCAATTGAACAGACTAAACAGGCATCCGTTAAAATTGCTTTGTATCTGCAAATAAGGCTGAGTTCACACACATACAGACATCAAAAAGTAGAGCTGCCAAAGCAATGCATTGGAGCGCTTTATGTGTCCTTTATTAGCTCACGTGTCAGGTGTTTGTGATTCTGTTTCATTATCTTAATAATAGTGTAGAGCGGAGCAGAGCAAAGGAATGGCTTTGAAGCTTCTGTTACTTAATTGCACTGATGTTCATGGCTAGTGCAATTTCTGTGTCGGCGTTTCTGTTTTGGTTTTGGATTACATTTTCCATGCTTGGCGTTTATTCAATTACAGCTACTCCACGCATTCGAAGCTCAAGTCTTCCGTTTTGTTGTTGGAAGCTATTTTACATCTTGATTATCGGTCGATTGTTGATGTTGTGCTCAAACCCTTTGTGACTTTATACAACGTCCCTTTGGACTTAAAGCAAACAGCGTACCATTCAAATCCATTCAAGGATAAGAAGTCAATCAGTCTTAGAAGTGAAGGATTTTGCACTTCGTCAAATTCAAATTACATTCGAATCCATAGCCAAGTGAACGCCTTTCACGCCTCTTCGAATTTCCGCTGTTGTAAAGACGTAAAGCTTACAAGCAAATTAACCCTAAGACATCCCAGAGAAAATTAAAAAAAAATCTACAATAAAATAAAATAAATGTGGCTACATTTGTTTTCATCTTAAATTCTTTTTCAAAATTAGCAGCGATTGGTCGTCGGTCATGGCAACCATCAAAAATCCACTACTCAATATGTATATATACTATGGATATGTAGATTAGTTGGTAGCAGTAAGACGTTAGCACATGACCTTACATTCTCCTTAAGAAGCTATTATTCGCTATATTTCTTGAAAGTAGAATATTAATAACTAAATCCATTCTATTGTTTTAAAATAGGTTAGGTTA